GTATTATCATTATTTCCATTTTATAAAGGACAAAACCAGGCAATAAAGAAGTTATGTAACTTGCCTAGGACTACACAGCTAGTAAGTGACAGAGCTCTGAGTAGAGTTTGAGGGCTAATAAGGTTGGGAGATAGGACTACAAAAAACAAGTTCTTCCAGAAAAACCATGAACTGAAGAGAAGAAAAGGAAGATAAAGGATGGCCAGGGCAGTAGTATTAGTGCAACAGCAAGAGACAAACTAGAAAGGGCCAGGCTGGGGAGAGGTGAGATGGAGGGAAAGAAGCTAGTTGCCTGGAAGCAGATGGTCCAAGTGTCCATGCCCAGAGAAGGGGCAGGCAAAGCTCCTGTGGGCAGGAAAGGGGGAAGAAGGACTGAGGAGGTGAAGAGAGGACTCCTGAATGGTACATTTAACTAGAAGCCCACAAGTGTAGCCTCAAGGCCAGAAAGGAAAGGGCCCTACCACTTCAGGAACCTGGGGGTTAGAGATGAACATGGGAATGGACTACCGGTGAATTTCACAAAAAGGAAAGGGATTCCTAAGTCTGGGCTTCTGGACTTGAAGGACAAGGGCCAGGAGCAGCCTAGAAGGACCTCTTTAAGGCTTTAAATACACACCCATCTAACAGGAAATATGGGGCAGGAAAACGGCACTCTTTCAAGTGCTTCTCCTCATGTTCCCCAGCACCACAGAACGGACTCTGCGTGCCTTGCCACGCCTCACATGTGCTAGAGCACAGAGGTCAGGAGGTGGAAGAGTCACGGACAGGAAAGACGGCAAAGAGGGAGAAAGTTGGAACCTTAGGGAGAGGAGAAAGATCCTTTTCTTTTTGCTTTGGTAGTAGCAACAAGTAGATAATCTAAGCAAGCCTGGTACAGAAAGAAAATGGTTAGAGGAAATTTCTCTGTGAAGAGGCTGTCTGTAATTGGGGTGAGCGGGTGGGGCAGGGGGTTTTGTTACAACCCCTGTTCCGCGTTCCTGCACAGACAACTTGTGATTACCTTCCCCATATCTGCTGTGCAATCCCAAGAGGGATATCTAGATCTAAACCTGCCTGGCTCTGTGGGGTCCTTATCTCTCCCATCAAGCTGGGGGAAGGTAGACCAGGCAGCTCACCTAATATCCTGTAGTCATCCTGGGCTTTCCTGGCTCGGAAAAATGCCTGGATCTTCACTATGGAGTTCACCTGCCATGAACACAAATGGGAAAAGGGTTGCTGGCAGCCCTTGCTCTGGTCTCATGGGTAAAGCTTGGGTATGTGGGCAGGGGGAGCAGGGTGTACTCACATTCTTCTGGAAGTACTGCAGACGCCTCAGGTATTGCCTCCGAGCTGCCCACATCCGGGTCCAGGCCTGGATCTGGGAGGAGAGACACTGCCTCAGAGCTCCAGGCCTGTGGCCCATACCCTCAGTCCCAGACCAATTCAGCCAACTCCAGAGGTTATGAGGAGGTGAGAGGACTACAAAATTGTCCTCAGAGGGTCATTCAAGGGAGATGAGAACCCACCCAAAGCACTATTGCTACCTTGATTATGGCATCCAGGTTTGCTTTTAAATACTGTAACCGCTCCAGGTAAATCTTCCTCTGTCTATAACCCCGCCAATGAGCCTGCAGATCAGGAGGAAAAAAACACACAAAAAAACATAACCCTACCAGGTCTCTTTTGGCTGGAGAGGGTTTTGGGAAAAGTCTTGTCTTGGGCTATCCAGGGAAGGAGGGGCAGATAAGTAGAGGGGGAAGGGGAAACTGGCCTGGTTCGCAAAGAGCTTTCACCCTCATGGGGAAGACCAAACAGCTGCACATAGCCAACCATGTCCTCTGCCACACTCCCTGGTCCCAGCATACCCGTCCACCCCCCAGCCCCGCCATCCCGCCTAACCAACATCTCCTCCCAGAAACTCAACTGTACGACAAAGGCCTAAAAGATATTAATAAAGCATACACCTATTCACCAACTTCACCAAAGCATGTACCATATAACCCCAAAATACACTCATACACCCATGTGCAGACCACCCACGCCCTATCTCACACACAACCCTCCTTCACGTACACAGGAAGTGGGTAGAGAGCAGTCTGGAGAGGCACATAACTGTGTGGGTGGGAAGTATGTATAGGCAAAGAGTCCCGTGCCCACAATCTTTGCCAGTGGCCACCTGGGCAGCAGCAGGTCACTAATGTTCTCATAACTCACACTTCTCTTCACAATGACACCATCCAGCTCAACCCTAGCTCTCAGCAAATCTTCCCAACAAGGTCCCTAGTAATTCAGCAGTCAGTCTGATGGCTTCTCCCCTGGCTGCTCTGCCGCAAGGGTCCAACTGACTATCTCATCATAAATCACACCCCCTTTGGTTTCTAAAACACAAATCTCATGGTCCCATCCCATTATAGTTCCTTTCTAGGAGCCTCTTCCCTTTTACCCCAAGCTTGTGTGGGATTAATTTTCCTAAAGCCTCCACTTGGATTGCCTTGTCCCAAACCCCAAAGTATTTAGAAGTTCTTTCTTTCTTTTTTTTTGAGATAGCATCTCACTCTGCCACCCAGGCTACCGTGTGGTGGCATTATCATGGCTCATTGCAAATTCAAATTCCTGGGCTCAAGCGCTCCTCCCAAAGTGCTAGGATTACAGGCACAAACCACCGTACCAGGCCTCTAGAAGTTCTTGACTGTCTGACTCCACCTCCCTGACTTTCCACTGGTCCCCTATCTTTTTAAGGATCCTAGACTCATCAGACATTTTGTTTTCTTCTAAACATGCCATATGATTTTCTGCCATGAGCCTTTGTTTATTCTCACTCTCATCCCCAGCCCTATCTCTACCCACTGAAATTCTTCCTGTCTTTCAGGACCCATGTCAAACATCTCCCACTGTGCAGGCCCTGGAGGATACTCTACCACTGACATTGTCTTGGTTCAGTGAGATTTAAGAGCATCCACTTTTATCCAATTGTCCTCCCATCCCTTCCTAAAGCCAGTTCTCCTGGCCAGGCTTTCCTCTATGCCGGTTGGGATATGATGCAAGAGGCAGTTTGGCCCATGACACCAGCTGTCCATGTTGGAACGCTGAAGCCAGGAAGCCCCTATCTCCATGCCTGCTGCCAGCACTCTTTCCTCTCTTACCCCAGGTACTGCCTAGAAAGTTGCTAGGGGAAAAGGCAGAGGAGTCTCCTCTCTGCACTTACCCCCTACCCAAACTCTACCAGGCTCCTTAAAAATGAAGACTCCTAATCTGGATTGGTCAGAATTCAGGACCCTAGATGGGCTTCCAGCCAGAGTCAGAGCTTTCAGGAGAGATTAAAGTCCCAGCACACCCGGGCAGCCTCATTTCTGATTCTCACTTAGCTGGAGGGCAAGTGGCCTAAGGCTCTGGGCTACTTCTCTCTTTCCATCTCTCAGGACTCAGGCCAGAGCCCACACAGCTCCAGCACTAGTGACAAAAGCACCCTCTGACTCCATCTTCCCTCCCACTGTTGGTGTAGTTTTTCATCTCCTTAGTGTGAAATTCTAGTCTGGCTCAGGAGGGAGAAATCCTTATGATTCAGACCACTAAATTCAGATTACTAAAGTTCTGTATTGAGTTCTGGGACCAATGCTCTGAAAATAACATCTTATAATGGCTACCACCAATGGAGCACTTACCACATCAGGTGCTACATGTAATTTTCCTACTTAATCCTCACAATCAACATGAGGTAAGTATCATCATTATGAATGGTGACACTGAGTGCTAGAGAGAGCTTAAGTAAGGTGCCCAAGGTCATATGACCCAAAAGGTGTAGGACCAGGAGGCTCACTCCAGCCTCTGACTCTAAAGCCTAAGCTTGGCTGGGCGCGGTAGCTCACGCCTGTAATCCTAGCACTCTGGGAGGCCGAGGCGGGTGGATTGCTTGAGGTCAGGAGTTCGAAACCAGCCTGAACAAGAGCGAGAGAGACTCCGTCTCTACTATAAATAGAAAGAAATTAATTGGCCAACTGATATATATAGAAAAAATTAGCCGGGCATGGTGGTGCATGCCTGTAGTCCCAGCTACTCAGGAGGCTGAGGCAGGAGGATTGCTTGAGCCCAGGAGTTTGAGGTTGCTGTGAGCTAGGCTGACGCCACAGCACTCACTCTAGCTTGGGCAACAAAGCAAGACTCTGTCTCAAAATAATAATAATAATAATAATAATAATAAAGCCTAAGCTTTTAATTACCACCCCACAGGCCCTACCTAGGTCATAATCAAGGGCAATTTGCCAGTCTCAGTCTGCACATCTTTCTCCTTTGGGGTCCTCTGGTGTTCTTTGTGTCCCTGCTATTACAATGTCTAATATCAACTATACTCCAATTCCTGCACAAGGGAGAGATGTGATCACTCACCTGGGGTCCCCACCTATCTCCCACCCTTGCCCAGTGCTAAGTGGCATGCTTTGTAGACACTGGGCATTCAAAGCTATTTATTAAATAAAGTATCTTCACATTGCCAGCATCTCCATGAGGCCCCCTAGATCACATGTGCCCAGGGAGGTCTCTGCTCAACTGCCATGATCCTGGCTTGCACAGTTGCCCTGGCTATCTTCCCAGCTGGCCTCACTTCCCTGTTACTTGTGATCAGTCCACTGAACCATACACAGGTTAGAAGAATAAACATGGAAATGCCTGGTTGGAGAGGAAAGGTAGAGACTCTTTTTTTCCTAAGGGATATTCCACTTCTTCTCTGTTTAACCACCACCACCTCTTCAAAACTCCTATTCTAGTCAGGAAGTCCTCCTGGTGTGTAAACACTGGTGTCTTACTAAATCTTATTTCACTGTTCCCTTGGGGAAGCTAAAAAGCAGCTCTCATACTGTCTGGATAGTGATGATGATGATAGCAACTAGCACTTATACCATGTTCTTACCTACCTGCCAGGCACTGTTTATAGATACAGGTATTTATAGACACTTTAGATAGTACCTCACTTAATCCTCATAACAATGCTATAAGGTGGGTGCTATCAATTATCCCTATTTTTTCAGATGAGAAAACTGGGGGACCAATGGGGAAACCGAGGGACAGTTGAGAAAGCTGAGGGAGAGACAAAGTAAGTAAGTTGCCAAGGTCAACCGCTAAGAGGTGGTAGATCTGGGATTCAAACTTAGGTAGTCTGGCTCTAGCACCTGTGCTCTTAACCACTACTGTTCAGAGGCCTAAAGATCATCCCAACTCTACTCAGTACAAGGAAGTCAGAGCTCTGGAGCTCAGAAAAGCCAGGCCCTGAAGACTTTGAAAGCCAGAGCCTGCCACCTGGATCTTGATGATTGCTGGGAGCCAGGTCCTCAGAAAGTGGGAACGCTCAGCAAACTTCTGACGAACTAGGAAGCCACGGAGGCGGGCCTGGAGCTGGATGACAAAGCCCACGTTGGCTTTCCAGAGCTGTTGGCGGTCGTGGGCAGCAGTGACCTTGGTGACGGCTGACTGTGGAGGCAGGACAGAGAGGCTGTGGTCATTTGGCGGATGGGAGGGCTCTTTTTCAGGGCATCCCTATCCACGATCCCCCACGCTTGCAGGGTCCTTGCCAACCTGGATCTCCTCCCGAGCCAGGTGGGAGGTGTTGAGGCGGCAGCCAGTGGGTCGCTCCCAGGTGCCCTGGAAGGTCTGCAGATGGAAGTAGTAGGCAGTGCCATCCTTCATGTCATGTTGAACCCAGAAAGCTGTGTCCGCTAAGCAGAAACCAAGTAAGCAGAAGAGGTTCAGAGGAGGCAAGAGGTGGCTGGGGCAGGCAGAAGAGGACAGTCAAGCGGGGGCTATTACCTGGACGCCGTTTCTTTGCTACAGCACTTTCCAGGGCTCGTTGGTAGCCTTCGGCACAGTCGGGAACTACACCTCGGAGGGCCACCACGGGGTTCCTCAACACCCGCTCCGTCTGGGCTGCCTTACCCTCCTTGATGGCTTGATTGATGGCGGCCACACCAAGAGCCACTGACAGGGGCATCAGGAGACAGCAGTCAATCATTCCCCCTGAGTCCCTCATAGCCCATAGCCCTTGTCCTGCCCATTGGGGAGGGATTTGGTAAAGGAGGACACAAAATCAACCTGTCCAATGCAGCAGACAAGGAACATCCCAGGATGGACAGAGACATACATGGAAAGCCGCAGCATGTAGCACGCAGCTTGGAGCCAGAGGCAGCAGCCAAGGAAGGCGAGGGAGGCAGTGTAGGGGGAAGGCTGGGCTGGGGCTTGGTAAAAGGAAAATCAGCTCATACAGAAGCTTAAAGGCAGGATACAGGCAGAGAAATGTGGGACAGTCTCTTAGAAGAATAGAGTCCAAAAAGTGGGGATGGTTGAGGTACCACCTGCCTTCTGGTCACTCACAGATGGACAGAGGGACTCGAGATGCTGAGACTAATGCCATCAGCCCCTCAGATCAGCATGCCAGTGTCTAATTGCACTGATTCTGCCTATTTTCCTCAAATCCTGCCAACCTCTCTTCTCCCACCCCAAGACGAAACATTTTCTAGCCAGAACTAATTGGCTGTTGGAACCCAAACTCAAGCTACCAGCAGAAATGGAATGGAGGGAAAGAGCCCACAGGAAGGCATGGAAGGAGGCAGCAGGTGGACTATGGGCTCTCAATTCCTGAGAATTTCCTGTCCAGCTGACTGCCAGGAAATCCACCCTGTGGTCCAAGCTGCCTACAGCCCTCCTGTTCTGATTCTGGCCTGCCTCCCCACAGAGGTTGAAGGGAGAGGGAGGTGGCTTGGGAGGCTGTCTGATTATCTGGGGTGCTGCTCTCATGTCTCCGTCCCTCCCGTACCAGCACCTCTCGCCTAGCCCGCATACTTCTCTGAGCTGTGTTTGTATCCTGGTTGGCTCTGACCACTCCCTGGCGGATCTCCTCCAGCCACAGCACAGCTCCAGGATCCCCCGTCACCTGCCAGATTGAGAGAGATGGAAAAAGATGAGATCCCAGGCTAGTCTTTCCCAGGCCAAGTTGCCCAGGGGAAGCAAACTGCAGGCAGATACTGGGAGCTACAGGGGTAGCGATCCCCATGGACCTCTTCCTGCCCTGTGTGGGCATGGCCTGTGGCTCCCTCTCAAACCCTCAGCACCCACCACCTTCTCAACAGCTCAGTCCCCTGTGCTTTGCCTCAGCCATGTCCAAGGATAGCCCATGCTGGAGGCTCTCCTACGCGCCCCCACTCCCTGTTCCCCAGTGCCTCATTTCATACCTTCTCAGGCCGATTCTAATCCTGACCGTCACCTTCTCCTTCCTATTCTTGCTCCACACTGCTCAACCCAACAAGGCAGCGGGAAAATTACATGAGACCACAGGTCAAGGAAGCCTGTGTCTGCCACACTGTCAGACTGATAAAGGCTTGTTCCCTCCCTCGCCTCACCTAAGCCCAGACTCTATTCCCTCTCAACTCCCCTCATTAATAATAGGCTTTGTAAACTAACATTTTACTAAGCGCTATGTGCCAGGCATTACTCTAAAGCACTTTCTTATGAATTAATACTTGCAAAGCACATAAAATGATGCTTGGCACAGAGTGAGGACTCAAGAAATGTTAGCCAGTACTACTGTCATATCATCTCATTTAAATCCCGCAACTAAGAGATGAGCTCATTATCATCACCGTTCATAGGTCAGGAAGCAGAAGCACAGAGGGGTGAAGCTGCACTTGCAGGGTCAGAATGCCAGGATGCAAACTCAAGTAGTCTGGCTCAGGAACCCGAGCTCTTAACCACTCTCTACTGCCACATACTCAGGGCACTTCGGGTTCAAAACTCTGCCCCATTTGTCAACTTATTTGATTTTCAGCCTTATTCTGGGAAGTGGGTAGGAGTAGGATGTGCAGTATTTTACAGATGAATAAATAGAACTCAGAGACTTCAAGGGATTTGCTGAAGGTCATGTGGTCATTAAGTGTCACAGTAGGAAATCCTGCCCAGGTTCTCTGGCTCCTGGGCCTGTGCTCCTCCCATGCTCTGTCCAGTGCTCTGGCAATGGGGGCCATCTTCCCACATCAGATCTGAACGCCTCCCTATCCCTCTCCCCCACTGGAAGACACTGTCCATCAGACTGGAGCTCTGCCAGGGTGCAACTGGGCACAGCTCTACCCATAGGGGATGTTCTTCCTGCTCTGGTAACCAACCCAGCCAGCCCTGACCTCACCTGGGCCTTCCGCCTTTTGGCTGCCACGAGGAGGAGATGGTACCGAGGGGCGACAGGGAGGCTGACATCATCCAGGCCAGCCGCAGGAAGCAAGAGGGCGGATAGAGTTTTCTCAGGGCTGTCTTGGTCCAGAGCCTCGTTGATCAGGCTGACCGCCAGGATCTCTGAGAAAGAGAGATCCAACTGGGCAGGGGCCCCAGACTTATGGCTAAGGGACGAGACTGCTCAAGTTGGGCCATCTTCCCCTGTTCCCGATTGCACTCACGGTCGGTCTCTTCCTGGACCTGAGCATTGACCTGGCTCACAGTGGCTTGCAGGTCATTCCAGCTCAGGAAGGCCTCATCCACTCCACGCACCTGTCGCAGTTTCACCAGGGCATCAAAGTAACTGGCAACAGGGTGAGGGAGAGAGAGGTGAGGTGAGCAGCATGGGGACCATCAGCCAGAAGACAGGGGGAACATTTGAACTATTTTCCTCACTTGGCCTCCGGGACACCATACTCTCTTGGTTCTCTTCTCACCCCACAAGTTATTCTTTCTGAGACTCCTCTGCTGCTTCCTCCTTGACCTCTAAACATTGGAACATCCCAATCTTCACTCTTTATACCTCTTCTCTCTTCATACTCATCTCCTCGGTGACCTTACCTAATCTCAAGGCTTTAAACTCCCTATGCTAATGACTCCCAAAAGCACAACTCCAACCTGTTCATTTACCCCAGCTGCCCCCTTGGGATCTCCACGTGAATATCTACTAAGCATCTCAAACCCAACAGCTCACATCTGAGCTGCTCATCCTGCATGTCCCATGGTCTCTCCCATCTTGCCAAACATCTTGGAGTCACACCTGACTCCGTTCTCTCTCACACCCATTTCCACTACATAACAAAATCCTGTTAGTTCTGCCTCCAGACTATATCCAACATCTGACTCCTTTTCCCCACCTCCACTGTTACCGCTCTAGGCCAAGCCCCTATCATCTCTTGCATGGATTATTCCACTTGCTAACAGGTCACCCTGCTTTTCCTCTCGCACCCCCGTAGTCCATTCTCAGCATAGCAGCCAGAATGATTGTTAAAGTAGGTCAGATCATCTCCCTCCTGGCTCAAAACCCTCCCGTGGTTTCCTTCCTCACTCAGAGTAAAAGCGAGAGGCCTACATGGTCTGGCCTCTGCGACTCCATCTCCGCCTCCCACTCCTCTCCCTTCCTCGCTCCACTCCACCACACTGGCTTCCTGATATTCTCTGGACACACCAAGGCCATTTCTTTCTCAGGGCTTCTGCCCCAGATAGCCTCACAGCAACCACTTATGCCTTTTAGGTCTCTCAATAAATGACCTCCTTAGCAGGGAGGCTCTTCATAACCACATTATGTAAAGCAGAAAACCCACCCCTACTATGTTCCTACCCTTTATCCCCTAGGCCTTGTTGTATTTTTCTCTATAGCTCTTCTCTTCTAATCATCTGTCTCCCTCTACTAGCATGTAAGTTTGACGAGAGCAGAAACTGTTCACTGCTGTTTCCCAGCATCTAGAACAGTATCTGGTATATGGGTGGGTACTCAAACATTTGCTATGAAAGAATGAGTCAATGAAAGAAAGGGGAATGAGTATGAACCCTTCCACTCCCAGGAAGAAACTCAGGCCAAGGAAATGTGAACAGACACAGAGGGTGGGCCTGGGCCCAAGAACAGGGGATCATGCAGAAGGCTAGTCTCCGAGCAGAACTCTGAGTCTTGGCTACATTTCCCCCATCCTCTCACTCCAAACACATGGCTAAGCCTTTCTCACCGCTGAGCATTTTCTCCTTCCACCTCCACCAGGCCTGTGGCTGCGTTCACCAGGCTGCTCCAGAAGCCACTGGCATCCCTGGCCTCCAGGGCCCGGTTAATCAGGACCACAGCTGAGAGCATCTCCACGGCCACAAAGA